CTTCCTGGACATCTGGAGGAAACGGCTGACCAGGCCCCGGCCTGGCCAGCTTCCTTTCAGGTCCCCCAGAGAGTGGGCAGGTGCAGGGCCCGAGGGCAAGGGCACCTTGCGGAAGGTGGGCGCGGGGCGCCGCTTCTCTGCTGAGCGAGCTCGGAGCAACTTGGGGGACGGGCAGCGGGCCAGGCGGAAGAGGCAGGCTTCGGAGCAGAGCCCTGCAGAGAGCACCGTGGAAGTGGCGCGCGAGGACCCCGCCCTGCCCCACCCTTCACCCCAGGCGCCCCTCACGCCTGACCTGTGTCTGCAGAGGAAACGGAGGCAGCTTCTTCCTCAAGCACTTTGGTACAGAAGTCCCTGAAGTCAGCTGAGGAGGAGAGCGGCAGGGGCTGCACGGAGCCACCCTGGACAGGCGCGCCCTTCCAGCCCCCGACCACACCCCGGTTGTGACAGAGGGGCCCTCATCTCTGCCGAGCTGGTGCAGTGCAGGGGGACAGCAGCTACCGCGCTCGCGGCCGCACGGTGGGCAGCAGAGAGACCTGCGTGTCCCTGGGTGTCACTGCCATCTGGCTGCCTGCCCAGCTGACCAGGCCAGAGGAGCCTGGCACCCTCTGGGCAGCCCGCTCGGGAGCACAGCTCGGCTCCTTTGGCGGCTCTGTAGCACTTTTTGGCTGAGACGCTGTTATTACATGTGTTTTACAGGTGAGAAACCGGCTTGCAGAGAGTAGATGGGGAGCTGTGGAGCTGGTGTCGGTTACCAAGCCCTCACCCACACGTGTAACCCCAGCGCTGGGAGGCTGAAGCAGGATCCTGAGTTTCAGCCCAGCCTGAGCAATTTAAGGACTTAGCAAGACCCTGTTTCAAAGTGGAAAAAATAAGAAAGGTGCGGGGTGTAGCTCAGTGTGAATGAAGGCCCTGGGCACCAGTGCCGGTTCCAAAAGGGAGAAGAGTCCCCTGTAGCCACTAAGCAACGGATGCCTGTCCGGGAAGGGCACAGCACCCTCACCCTCGTTCTCCCGACCCCGGGCGCTCACCGGTGTCGCCGGAGGTGGCTAAGGTCGGGTCACTGTGCGACCGCGGCAGCGGAGGAGGCGGGATGCGGGGCCGGGGTCCGGG